GCAGATCTTAGATCAATCATTGAATAATCATTAAGATTATGAGAAATACTCAAATTAGTCAGTGAGATGGGTGGGACTCTGCAGGAATTCCCCAGCTATCAAAGAATAAAACTGCCCAGATGCACTAACTTGGAAAAGGCGTAACATTACATTACATTACAGATAACATTTTGACATTTTATTTACAGTATGTTCGCAATATGTTTATATTATATTATATTACCGTGAAGATTGGGAATACTAACAAAATGTCTAAATCTGAAATATGTTCGCGCAAGTGTAACCACTTTTATTTAAAAGATTATAGGTCAGTTAGTTTTACATGCTTTGCCTTAAAAACTATAGAGAAACTACTAGACTTACATATCAGACACGTTTTATATTGTGGAAATATTTCGACAGGTCAACACGCATACATGAAAAGGATGTCAGTTCATACATGCCTACTTCTACTTCTATAAATATGCGAGCCGGCCACTCGATTACTGGACTATTATTAAAAAAGTAAAACCATCTAAAAGTCACCCAACAATAAATAATGTTGTTACTGACAAATGACATAATTTGTTTTTCTTGGAAGCAAATATATACACCAGAGAGCTGCAATGAGTACTCAACACTCGAATCTTTGGCTGCGTTTTATTTATATGCATTATTATATGATAATGATTTATGCTTTTCTCATATCATCTTCATTAACACCGACATTCGACACAAAAGTGATGCAAATAATTTATAATTCATTCATGAGTATGACGTTACAGTCGGGAAAAATTTTCTTGTTGTTGTTTACTGTGCACATTAAATATTCAAAAACACAAACAAAACACATCCATTTACAGTGATAACAACAACAACAACAACACACCAAAAGTATATTAAGCACACCCAAATTTTTTGTTTAGCAAACAACAGAGCTCAAACAAAATTTTTGGAATGCTACAAGTCATTCGAGTCATTCATTTTCGATGAGTATGTTCATACTCACCTGAGTATATCCTATGATTCATAAATCATTTACCATTTATATTACTCTATTTAAAAATGTGTACCCATTCTTGTGAAACTAATTCATTAGCACCCGCATTCGTTAACAAAAAAATATGAATCATTTCTGTGGCAAACGTGAATGCATATAAATAGTGAGTGAGAAAAAAATAACGTAAAACTGCAATGACCATTTGTCAAATGGCTGTCTGTATAAATGTTACTGTACTGTAAGTGATATTTGGTAGTATCGCCCAGTTGCGTCAAATATATGCCCCTTTATAAAAAAAAATAGCTCTGATTTATTTACCATACCCCAAATATCAAAAATTAAAATTAGTATGGTTGATAATCAAAATCTTTATTACATTTTGTATATCAGCATATAATCATTAAAAGGAAAATTATCAATTATTGTTGTTGAAAAATATTTCAATATGTCTAGAATATATTAATTTAATTTTAATAATAAATTTTAATTCTCTATAAATTGTCAAAATGACGAATGCTCTTTACAAGCATTTTTTACTGTTTAGACAAAATTAAAAATAGAATAATTACTGAATTTATGGTATATTAAAGGAATAAAAATATTAAAAGAGTAATAAAATAAGATTTAGTAAATTTTATAAAAATAATAACAATAAAATTCCAAATGGCATTATTAGTAATTTTATAATTATTTATTAAAGTAATGTAAAAATATACATGATAAAATTCCAAACAGTAAATAACGAATTAAAAAAATAAAAGCAATGAATCATAATATGAATATAACAACTAGTTCACAGAGTACTTTTGATTTTTGTACTAAACACCTTACACCATAGTGTGGTGAAAAAAACACTAGGTGATTGAGCTTGGAAATTTGTCAATATATGTTCAGAAATGCAAAAAGCTTTTTGTTGTCAAAAATCTTAAATAATTGTCAAAATTTGACAAATTTGTAAAGTGCACAGAATAGGTCCGAATATCTATATAAAAAATTTGCCAATAAATATCGATAAATATAGAGTAAAAATTCGATATATTCTATGCTTAATGATTTTCCGCATTAAACAACACCCTTTAGGTGATTCATTTCGACTGTACTATTGCTATACTGAGCAGTACGAAACCAATACATTAATCGCCGTTTTATAACCGTGTTAACGCATAATTTTGTTGCATATTGAATTGTGAAAGTATATATTAAAAAAAAAAAATGACTGACAAAAGCAAAACTCGTATGAATTTATCTGCAATAAAAAAAGTTGATCCCTATGCAAATGATATAGTGGATTTATCATCACATGTTGCATTTTACACATTTAACTCTGAGCGTAATGAATGGGAAAAAACTGATGTAGAAGGCGCATTTTTTGTTTACAGTCGCATTGCTCAACCGTTCCATAGTATATTCATAAACAATCGTTTAAATACAAACTCATTTGTTGAGCCAATCACTTCTGATATGGAAATACAGTCACAACCACCATTTCTTTTATATAAAAATGCGCGATGCCGTATTAGAGGTTTTTGGTTTTACAACAGCAAGGAAAGTGATAGAATTGCAGTACTATTAAATAAAATTCTATCAGATGCTACAAGTTCAACTGTACAAGCTGCAGATAACAATGAGAATAAAGAGCCCAAAAATAATGTTAATATATTTAAAATGTTATCTGATGCGCAAATGGAGTACCTTTCTTCTCACTCTGGACAAAATAATACCGAAAAGAGCGGTGCACCAGTAAACGTTATAAAGTTTTTTGAGTCAGCTAAGCCAGCTATTCCTGATATACCATTATCTCAGCGTATGTTGCCAAATACACTATTCGTTGATCAAGTTGAAAAACAACAAAGGGCAATAACACCATTGAAACAGGCGGACTTGAGACCAAAAAATTTACCAGTTGAAGATCATAGTAATGTACAGAAAATGTCTTCTGTCGTTACACAAACCCATAAAAATTCCAATTTCGAAGTTGACCAAATCACGACGGAACTTAAAATAAGTTCTAATAAAGAAGTAGTTCTGACGCCGCCAACTCTATCAAGGCCACAAAATCAACATATGCATAAAAGATCTCTATTACAATTCGATTCTAAACCAGCATTGATGCCGCCAACAATGTTTGACAAACCAATAAAAAAAGAGAGTCCTCCACTGCAGGAACCTTTAAATGCATCTCAGCTAGTACAAGCATTTACTTACTTGATAGAGAATGACGAAGAGTTCGTTCACAAGCTGCACGAGGCATATTTAAATAGTTTTACAAAAAGTTTATTGGGATAAATCTTAAAAATATTATATTGTGATTTCGGCTTGAAGTCGAACAATATATGTTTTATTCAAAGCAAGCAGTAAGATAAACTTATTCCACAATTTTATTTGCGTTATTTATTTAAATGCATTTTTATTTTCATATGTTAATCATAAAACAATAATAATAAAAGTATTGTTTTTGAAGCAAGTTTCGCAAATAATTTTCTAGTTTTCATTTTAATAAATTAAGACCTCATAACTTTTTACTAATGGATAAATTGTTAAATATGTACATATATATAATATGTATATATTCATCACCAAATAAGTTTTTAAATGGAACTGTTAAGTTTGTTGCATTCCAGGAGTGACATCACGTCGAATATGCTGCTGGAAACTACCCGTGTAACGATGCCAGTAATATAGATTCCAAATAGATGTAATTCAAATAAATGGTAGATGCCCCTTGCTTACACAGAGTTATAAGTGAAACATAGCGAATATATAAAGCGTTGGTGTTGCTTTATTTATACCTAACAATTCTATAAAATATTGGAATATATTAATGAGTGTTTTAATACATTTTTAATTCGGTTTTAATTCTTACTTGGTACCTCTATTAAAGATTTCCATGTCAAAGAACGTTATAAGTTCTAGCATATACTCGTTTATTAGAACTATATAAAAAAGTAATCTTTAGTATATTTTGGAAGTTTTATTATGGCGTGAAATGTCATTATTTGCAATTTCTTGATCAAACAAAAATATCAACTCTCAAACTATTTCACTCTGTAAGAGCCATATTAAGCTGGCAATAATCCCTGCGTGTAATATGACGCTTAATTTTTTCTCTTCCGGACTAAAAATTCAACTTCTTGGAAAATACTTCAAAGCGATTTAGCCGTTTATTAAAAACTTACGCAAGTTACAATCATATAGTGAACCAAGATCCAGCTTTCTAAAGTTTCAAATCTGTTGCATTTTTAAAATGGTCAGCAAGATGTGAAAAATCATATAAATTATGATAATATAAAAAATTTATATTATTACATTATATAAACGTAAACTTTAAAGTACTTTTATTAAAAAAATTTAATTTTGACCTCAGGAGGAAACGGGAGAACGCGCTATTTTCCTACTGCTGACATCTCGAACTGAAAATAATAATTAGGCTGAATTTTAAAAAACAAATATGCAAAAATAATGATGAATTCAAGCATTATTCCACATACTTTTTAGGCCGACATATATTAATATGTATTATTTTTTCATGCCAATACATTAATACTTGTTCTCTTACATATTTGACGTACATTATTTAAAGTGTCCTAGTTTAGCAGTTAATAATAAAATGTCATTTTAAATTTTATTTATGGCTATTAAAGATTATTGTTATAATCTTTAGTGGAAAAAGTAATTTATAGAAATTTTTTTTTATTTTAAATACCTAACTCAAAAAAAAATACCTGTATCCAATAAACTTAAAAGCTCATTTACCAACAAAGAGATATTTTGTTAAATCGATTGCCGTTGATGGTATGACCAACTGTGTGGGTTGCTAGAACTCATTTCCTCGATTGCTGAATTAAACTTTATATATATAGTTACAATATCTCTGAAGTCTAATTAGCCTTTTATTTACAAGAACTGAATACACCTTTACTCTCAATAATCGTATAAACATTTTAATAACACAAGTAATAAAAGCAAAAAATGTTGAAATTAAACAAAAAAGCAACAACCAGTTAAAATATTTTTTGCGTGCTTTTATTGTGTATATAATAAGAAATTTCAATGTCCATAACTGAGACATAAATTTTCTCTATTGAATATAAGTCATATTGTTATTACAAATAAATTGTAAATATGCACACATCTAATCAATCATAAACGACAAGTTGTTTCAAAAATTGTTGTACTCATTTTTACTACAAATATGAGTTATTATTTCAAAATAAAAAGAAGTACTTTTATTTTTAATGTCATCCTAACATATATCCGTTGCTTTTAAAAAGTATTTTATCTACTCAATTGATTTCATCTTGCAGAGTAAAGATGTAGATAACATCTTACATTCGCCATTAATTTTGCATATACTTGTAGTTTTCTCATCCTGTGACATAACCCTTCCAATCGATTCTCTTCCTTCACCATAGATAATCTTAAATTCATCACCAACTTCTGGTGGTACTGGCATTAAATGTTCACTTACAATAGACACGCTACGATCTTCCTGTCTCAAAAATACGGAACAAACACCATTAGAGACGGTTCGTATTATGCCAGTTTGTCCAACTAAATCGATATCATCATGTTTATGAATTTTGACTTCAATATCTGTAGTACACCAATCTCCTATAGGGGAATCTAAGCTAGCCCCTGGAGTTTGTGGATTAAATGGCGATTGAGGAGCCGCTCCAGGAGTATTAGGAGAGTAAGTAGAAGGTGATGGAGTGTTCATGTAATTAACTGGATATGGTGAAGGAGTTGGACTTGGACTCGGATTAAATGGACTATAGCTACGTTCAGAACCATACAATGTTCCGGGTGTTTGTGGCGCAAACGGTGTATTTACTTGATATCCTGGTGTACCTTTAAAAAAAAATTATTTGAATATGATACAAAAATTTTAATCATTTTCAAATTACTAGGATTATAACCAGGACTTGGGCTTGGATCTTCTATATTATAATCGAAATCATTGCTACGTGCTGGTGTATTTGTTACATTTGGATCCCAAGCACCATGACGTGGTGTCATACTGCCTTCATGTAATGGAGTCATTGCACTAGTATATGGAGTGCGACTTTCTGCATCCCAATTAGGTGTTTGATTTCCAAGAAGTGGAGTTTTAGATCCCATAGCTGCATAAACTGGTGTTTGTGAACCATATCCTGGAGTACGTGAAGGAGTTCTGCCATATGTTGAAACATTTCCTTCTTTTCCAGGTGCACCAACAATTGAAATGTGATTCCTATCAACAGATATTGTTTGACATGAAGTGTGTAATTCTACTCGAGCAGTACTTTCTGTTGCGTCCTTGACAATACCGACTGCACCTAAAATTTTGAAATTGTTAACAGGATTAATAACTTTTAATTTTCGTTAAATTATAATATAAGTTAATTGCTAAAAAAAGAAATAATAAATGGAATATTATTTTTAATATATAACCAAGAAAATATATTCTTTTTGAAATTTATCTACTTATATTTACCTTTATATGGTCCAACACTTATTTTTATAGTTTTTCCCAGTATTTCTCTATCACGTGTAACACGGAATCCACCACGTCCGCGGCCTCCGCCACGTCCTCCTCGTCCACCGGATGGATGCATAGGAGACTGTATACGAGGAGACATGAAGCCTAGACCATTAAGCCCACCAATATTATAAGATTGAGATTTACTACCACCAGCTAATTGCAAGTGCCGTGTTTTGCAAACAAATATACCGCCATTTTCGGTATACATGCGACAATGCAAGAAAGCTAAACTGCGATATAAATGTTTAATTTCACCAGAACGTCCCTAAAAAACAAAGTTAGAAATAACAAATTCTAACGCAAATTATTAATTCTTACAGCATGTGGACCTTCCATAACCTTAACAATGTCACGTCGACGTATTTGATTTTGATCTGCATCGAGAGCAATTGTGTTTCTATTTTCTCTACGTTTATGCAAAGCTGTTGGTTTACATTCAATTACTTTTCCATGCATACCAAGTACATGGAAATTTTCTCGTTCTAGACGCACTATGACTCCAACATTTTGGGGACTAATATAAAAAAAAATTAATTTTTATATCGTTTAATTATTAATTACATCATACTCTAATTGTACTAAGTCGCCCCACTGGAATTGTCCTAAGCAATCAACGCCTGTTGCAACATCTGTACAAAGTTGCAAATCTCTTGGAAGTACTTCCAGTTCATGATTTGTTAAGTCCGATACAAGAACGACGCGAGAAGGCTCAACACGTATAATTAAACCTGTCTCACCTTCATAGCGACCAGCCAACACCCTGGCGTGATCACCTGTTTTAAAGTATTTACGAAGTTCACTAGCTTTAAATATAAGAGGATCCTAAAAGAACAATATAAGTCTTAAGTTTATAATAATTTTTAGCAAATTAAATCAAATACTTCAATAACACAAAAGATGTATTCAGACCGAACTCCGTAAATATTTTGTTTATATGCGACAAATTCACATAAAATTTTACGAATATCGAGTTCAACCTAAATACCTCTAATATTAATAAAATTTTAATGTTGTTATTAATACTTTTAAGTCCTGATGTTTGGGTAAAACCGTTATCATGCCACCATCAATAGCAATTATTTTCGCCTGAAGATTTTCCAAATCGCCGATGCAAACTTCCACATTATCTCCCATGGAAAATGAGTGTGTAGAAGAGGGATCATCCTTTACCGAAGAAACAATTTCCAAGTTTACATCTTAAAATCGTTAATAGGTTAATTAATATAATAAAGTAAATAGATAGTGCATTAGTTTACATATACATATGAATGTTATATATATTACAAATTATGAATACTTTTTTGAATAAAGAGTATATAATACCTTCAGGTTGTTCTTCAAAACGTTCAAGCTCTGCCAAAGAAGGTTTTACACCATCTGCCAAAATTGCAGACATTGTAAAGTTTTTATATAGAAAACCTTTTCGCGAATATCGGTTTCCTTCAAAAAGAAGAAAATCACCATCAGAATGTACTTCTCCACCAATCGCTCTAACTGCTTCCGGATCGAATGGTTTAGCTGGTGGACGACGCTTCTTCTTACGCTTTGAATCATCTGCATCCTAAAAATATTAAAATGATTGTTATGTTGTTTTATTATATTAAAAATGTACTAACAGAGCTTGTGGTTCTCAATGCCCCTCTCATTCGAGTGTAATCAATTCTCGGAAGTAATTTTAAATGTACTTGGTTTTGCCCCAAATCAACATAATCGACTTGTGCTATATCGTCTTTATACAAACCACGTTTAAGACGAACCCATTGCTTCACTTTAAGACCAACTTGCTCCTTTATTACTTTCAAGACATCAGTCATTTCCTTAATTGGAACCATTTCCTGTTTCCATTTTCCCATACGTAAGTTACCAACATTTTCTATTGCTGTTTTAACATGTGTTTGTTTATAAGATTCAATATAAATATATCCCTTAACACCTTCAGGGGCTACAACCGATTTTATTTGTATTGGGTTATCAGTATTAAGATAGGTCAAGAATTTCCGCATTAATAAAAGTGCCGTTGCTTTTTCTTCGCCTATTCTACATTTAACCATCCATAAGTTTGGATCCCTAAAATATAATGTTATATTAATTTCATACATATATCTACGATTTCATTAACAAACTTGATTCCTGGTAGAAGAGTCTGCTGAGTAATTTCATCAGACATTTCCTCTCCTCCATCACCAAAATGTCTTTTTGCTACAGATTCATCAGCATATTTCTTACGTAAGTATTCTTCTATTTCATCTTCCTTTTGTGTGCTTAAATGTTATTAGATATTAATATATGTACACTAAAATATATTTATTTTGTTGTATTTACTCCCACAAATTTGTTCCACGACGACGTATTTCAATATCACGAGCTGTTGGACCCAATTCATCTATTTCGTTTCCAACAATGCCAAGTTCGTTTGCACCTTCTTCCCACTCTTCATCTTCGTCAACCTATTTTGTCACAATAATTTATTTACTAAACTTTCATATAATACATTTTGTTAATAATTACCTCATCGTCCACTTCAGCTTCGTCGATAATAAAACCTCCAAAACGCTCATTTTTTTTCTTTTTTCTTGGTCTATCGTCATCTTCTTCATCGTATTCTTCAGAATCTAACTCATCTTCATTATCGTCATCATACTCATCCCGTTTAGAACTCTTCCTCTGTTGAGGACTTATGGAGCGATCCGATTCAGAACCAACAGATTGCGAACGAGATCGACTTGGCGACTTAGATCCGGATGCAGATCTTGACCGTGAGGATGAACGCGACATGAATTCCCTAGATCTTGACCGCGATCGAGCACTGCGTTGCGACTTGTTCGAACCAAGTGATCCATCTTCGGAACCACTATCGGATGCATTACTTGCTTCAGATTCCGACATTTTAACACTTTAGTCTCAAACACAATCTACCAATTAAATTTAATCCAACTCCGATGTGTACAGCACGAAAGCAATTTATTACAATTGTGTTACTGAAACAAATCAAAAATGAAACCTGTATTTTTAAAAAAAAAATTTTTTGTTACATCAAAGAACACTATCCACAGAACGGACACTCTTTACCAACCAAAGATAAATAATATTTGATATATTTAAAATGTTTTGAATGATGTTTTTATTTCGTGTGAAATGGTTTTAATGGTTATGCCATTAAAGTTTTAAAAATTTTAATTTGTAAAATAACACATTTATTTCTTTAGGATATTTTTTTTTTAATTTTTAAAAAACACTAGCTTTACTTTGAATGCGTTGCTACGGCTCACAGAAAATAAATAATTTCATTTAGAAATTATTTAGGTAATAAATACGCAAAGAAACGAAAAAAGATATTATATTGTAATTAGATTTACTTTATTCAAGGACAAACATATTTTTTTTTTTTGAGTCAAAACAAATATATTTTGTGATTGTTCATCAAATTCAATTGACCTTGTGCTTTATGATAATTAAAAAAGTTTTTTGTTTTTAATTAACGAGAAATCATTATCGATTATATCAAATGGCATGTCCTTGGGAATAGTAGAAAACGTGGTATCAGAACAGCTTCTCCTGTTGATTCTCTATTGTTGCTTCAATTACATTGGCATAACTTCTTAATTAAAATTAGATAAGGAGTTTATTGAGTATAAACAGAAAAAACTAAATTAATTATAAAAATATAAACATTTAGATTAGAATTGTAGAAAATTAAAGCTTTTAGCTTTTTACTAATTTCTGCATTAAAAATTCTAAACCCCCTTTAGTTTTATTAATTATAATATTTTATAATTATAATCTTTATAATATTTTATTAATTATAATATGAAATATATATGCATATATAAATTTTGAGTTTTGTGCTGCACAAAAGATCTTTCAGATCATAGTGCATGTACAGCTTATTTATAATAATAATATCTATCTATAGTGTTTTGTACATACGAAGGAAACGCTATGTACAGATTTAGCTCATTATTTAAATATTTTATCCACACTAAATTTTTCTTCCGTATAATTGAAAAATTAAGGATATTTTACAATTACTTCTTCACATCCTTCGGTGCACAGGTAGAAAACCAAGTAGTAGTAACCTAGTAGTCCCTGCCGTGAACACATGAAACAAATATACCTGACATCATGTGTACAAAAGAAGGTGATAATTCATCAAAAAAAAACCCTTACTCTTCGTGAAATGAACAAACGACAGATATTTTTTTTTGTTATATTGATACACCCTTTCTTGACATATGGTACAAATTTGAGCGCCATCTGTCAATTAGTTTGTTTACAGCAGCTGTTAATGTTAACCTTTTGCACTTTACCAAGTTAAGCCTGATTTCGGCGACCAACTGCTAATAAAAGTCATAGGAATTCTGAAAGAAAGTCGTCATGATGACCACCTGAAAAGTAAATATGTAAGGGAAGAAAGTAACATGACGGTCCTTACTGGGAAACAAGCAATAGAATACCATACACCCGCATCTTTTTTCTTATATATAATTTTTGGCGAGATATATCACATGTTTGATTTTTAGTTTGATGTCACATATCAATAAGATAATTGAATATGTGTATAATTAAGTAAACAGTTTTAATTTTGTTTAAAATTAAAGAAAGATTTTATTTTTTGTTATGTAAAACTTAAAAAAGCAAATAACATACATATGTATATAAAAACAATCTGTGATCGATACTAATATTAAAAAAATATTTAGTATTAATAATAAAATATATATTGAAAAAATTTCCGGCGAGTTGATGAAACATAATTCAAAATTTGATCCGAACATAAGTTCTAAAAAAAAAACTGAAGACCTCTCTCATACACTTATATGTATTGAGAATGTCTTCTGACGTAATGTCACCAAACTTACAGTTTGGTCGTACTTTCTGTGTAGTAATAGAGTTACATTAAAACAGTACGTGTTATTTCTTAACATCTTATTCTCTTTCCTGAATTTTGGGGGATTAAAATACTTTCTAGTGAAGAGTGTGACCTCTGTTTTCGTAGGCTTAACCCCGAGAATGAATTCGCCACACTATTTTGTTACAGTAACAACTGAAGACTTAATAACAATACCTGAGAAGTTCACCGATGCAGTGATAGCAATAATATTGGTATGAGCTATAATCCTGTATCCGGATTGTTCAAATAGTTTAAGGAGTTTTTTTACCACTATATGCTATAAAAAAAGAGAAAGAACACCGCTTTGCGGAGTACCGCGACGCAGAACGACGAGATTAAACAATTCCTATACTGGATGTGCTAGTCATGATTTTGAGAAGTACCTCAACAAATGTCGATGGATTTAAATGTGGCTGTGCGTGTGGGTAGTAGATTTGCTTTGCGAATGTATGAATGGAAGATGCATAAAATAATTTGACACATCTTACTTTTGAAAAATATTAATATATATACAAGAAATTTTTAAAAAAAAATAAAAAATTAATTTTTATAAAATTTTATTTCTAACTTTTGAAGTAAGTATTGAAAACCTGTTATGATGTTGGTTTTTCTCCCTATATTCTTATACGTTGCATTCTATTAGCTGTTGTAATAAATTATTCATGTTGAATTTTAGCGTTACTTCAGGCATTTATATTCCAGTATGGTATAAAAGGTTGAAATAATTTTATCTTTCTTTCATTCCTTTTTATAATGAAATATATTAGTCTACCCCAAATTAAATAATTTTCGAGAAATTCAAATTTTTAAAATTTGAAAAATATTATTATATAAATAAAGTTGTGGTAGGAATCACCACGTATTTAAGTTTTTGTGGATAATTACTTTCATAATTTCTAACGCTATGGCCATGGCGAATTTGTGTCGGAGGTGTTCGACAGATTAAACCAGAGACTAAATTTGTAACTAAATATATAAATAAAGCGAGTTTTGTACAAAATAATTTATCATATTAGATCAACAGCATAAAAAAGATGGCAAAACCTTTCCAAACTGCTAATTAATATCTAATGCTATAAATGTTTTGCATACATCTAGATGTTTTGCATACATCTAATTTTGTACTGATTCCCCCGCCATTCATATAGTATCATACTATAAAATAAAAAATCCAGCTTTGATGAAATTAGTCATAATTGTATTATGTATTGACTCCATTGCGTTTACAGAATAAATACAGAAAAAAAGTCGAATTAAATTAATTCAATAACAAATTGTGAATATGTTAAGATTTCTAATGTGCATTACTTTTCTTAATTATCTCAGGCGGGATATAGCTATCATCTATAGATCTGGGCTTCTTTTTCTTTCCAAACCATCGTTTGGGATATGTAACCTTTTTTTGGTGTATTTCTAGGTCAATTTTTTCTTCTAAATCAAAGAACCATAATTTCTGCTTTTCATCTTCTATTTTTTCTAATGTTTGCTTAGAATTATTTATGCAATCAAGTTGTTTTCTTAATCGTTCTTCTTCAGAAAGCCTATTTTGATATGCCGTAGCCCACAAATCATTTTTTTGGTTAAGCTGTTGAGTTAGTTGTTGTTCAGTTTCTTTGACTTCTTCATTTATTAATAAGTTAAGCTTTTCTTGAAATGTGGCATCATTTATCATTGGCAGTACTTCATTTATGTTTGTGTTTAGGTCATCATTCTTTGATAACGTCAAGCAAACATTTAATACATCTTTATGAAGTTTTGTAGAGCCCGATTTTATTAATCTAATTGCCTCCTCAAAATCATTGTTGAAAACTGTGGCCAATACATTTACGTTTAGAGCTATCTCACTAGATACTTTTCTCGATAGCTTTTGCATAGTTTTTATAATCAATTCCTTGCTATAACCTGGTGTATAATCAACTTTATGTGGCTCATAACATTGTAAAAATTTCACTCGCACCTTTTTCTGAAATTTAATAAAAACATATTAAAATTAAATAATAATTAAGGTGTCTTTATGCATTGAACGCATAAATATACTGAAATTGTATAAATGGTTTCATCCGTCAAAATATTTTTATATTATTTTAAAATCGTACCTCAGTTACATCGTTCTCTTCTTTTTCCTGTGTAATTTCTTCAGGTGAATACTGTTTCAGATAATTAAAGCAAGATTGTATGGACAGCAAATTTAAAAAATTTGAATTTATTTCGTCTTGCAACATGATTTCGACAGCAATTTGTGTTGCAGAAATGTAATCAGACTTTTTTAATAACCTATCTAATATATAACTTCCAGTTATTTCATCTAAAAATATCCCAAAATGTCGTTTATTCTTCAGTATCAATAATAACTCTTTAACGTTGTCAGACTCCAAGAAGTAATCAATAATTATATATTGATTGGACTCAAACATTTTAGTTGCTTCTTTTCCCATTCGAAATTTTAAAAGTAAACTCTGCAAATCAATGTGTTGTTCCTCATTTGGATTTAGACTTTTCACAATAGAATCTAAATTGATAGCAGTTAGATCAGAATTCGGTTTAAGATTTAGATTCTCTGTTACTGAGAAGCTTGCTTTTTTAATATTTTTACTAATCACATCTTTAAAGTTGTTGGAAAGATAATTTCTATTAAAAAAAAACGTAATGCCGCTATTTAATGTTAATAATTTTGAGCGATACATGATCTCAAATTATTATATGATAACAATGTGCTGTCGACGACTAACGTCGTTGTTATAAAACACATGAAAATTGAACAACCCACCAACAATGCAAAAAGTAAAACAATTTTGATTATTAACTTTTGAATAAATTTTTGAAATTATTAGGGGTATTTAGGATGTCTGTGCATCGTTGTATGTGCAAAATTATTTGATTTTACAAAAAACAATTCTTTTATTTATAATTCTGCACTTGATTTGACAATATTTAAGACCATATTTTCAACACGAATTGCATATTTGATTTTCAAGACCCTATTGTGAATGATACTACTATTTATACTGTTCGCTGGGCAATACTTTAGCGAAACGGTCGTTTTTTTTTTGATTTCGTCGTTTTGTAATTTTGTGCAATTGTTTAATTTTGTATTTATTTTACGTCCAACAATATCGGAGCTGGTGGCCAACATTCGTTGGCAAGAGTGATTCTTTGTTAAATCTTTATGCTGACGTCATTTTTGGTATTTAAGCTCGTTCCTAAATAAATAAAGTCTTTCACAACTTCGAACTTATAATTGTCAAAAGTGATGTTAACTTGTTTTTCTAAGTTGGAAAATGCCGCACTGACGGCGTGGGTGATGTTGCTAAACGTCATTATCTGTATAAATTTTGCTGGGATACCAAATTCAGACATAGAGGCATAGAAAATTATTCTAGTAGTAGTATCAGAAGCAGCTTTGAAACCGATAAATAGGTGGTGTGTGATTTGTTTCTCTTTGTTCTTTGGTCTAGGGCAAATTTGTCAGTTCTGAAGCCACACTGATAAGGTCCAATCAGTTGGTTGACGATTGGTTTCAATCTTTCACATAGAACCTTAGCTCAGTTAGTAAACCATCGGCGCTTGCAGCTTTGTTGTTTTTGAACCGCATTATGGCTGTTCTAACTTCATTATGACCGGAAGACGGGACGATTATTTCATCGTTAACGATTGAAGTTCGCGCCGCAATTGACCGCAGGATACGCATAAAGTTGGAGAAGTGGTTCCATTGCGCGCATATATCGGGTTCTTCAGGCCTCTAATGTGTACTGTCTAATTTTTTAATTTTCTTTTGTTTAAAGCATGCAATTTTCGAGAGTAATGAAATTTATATTAAAAGTAATAAAGTAGTCCAAATTAATTAAACAGATTTTATATAATAAATAGCAACAACTATCAATAGTATAAATAAAGATTCAATATCGCAAATATTGTTACAAATTCACTGCACATTACATATACAGATACCAAACCGCATCGATATTATTCATTCATTTATTAAAGCTCGATACAGACTTTAGTTGTACTTTTATTTTAAGTAAAATTTATATTGATGTGTGAATCAGTTGTTTTAGTTTGAATTTAAATTTTTGTATTATTTATTTGCACGACACTGGTATTCTCATCAGACTTTACACAAAGCTGTTCTATGAAAATCTGTGTAAAGAGCGTAATTTGACACTTTATTTGTGTTACGCTCTCAGTTTTTACTTGTGTTTTACTTGAGTGTTACTACGAGTACCTCCTGCAACAGACCTAATAATGAAATGCTTTTGCGCAAATGTTCAGATTACGCAAAATAAATGTCATACTTGTTATTTCATGTCATGACGTGGAATTGTTTTGTTTAACAGAACATCTAGCAGTAAATTGTCCACATAATAAGTCTGTTCCACGAGCTACTCATAGTAACTTTGAGTAAACACTGTGTATACACAAGCGCGTTCCACCAGCAAATTTTCAAGTATTTTTGTGTAAATTTTACATCTGTTTTACTCATGTGTTACTATGAGTAGCTCGTGGAACAGACTTAATAATTTATTTCAACAATTAATTCCATTCGTAATTGCTTAACTAATAATTTTGTTGAAATTGTCACAGTAATATAACATATTTTGTGCTTTTAACTAAAAACAATAATCATTTTGAATTACACAATAAATACACAATGTTATTCATTTATAATTTTTATCGATATATTGTAGGGTTAGCGTTGATGATCAGATTGCAGACTCAACATATTGTTAGATATCAAAGTCCAACCGAAACGAAAGGATCATAAATAGATTTTTTAATTTAATTTGTATACAATGATTTCTCAAAGTATTCGTCAAGGATTAGTTAAAACAAACATCAGTCAGGGATTTTTAATATGTCAATATAATGGTTAGCTTTATTGTATTATAAAAAAACTGAAACTGAATATTGTGATGAGAATATATGCTTTTTTCACATAATAATGCATATTTTATATAAAAATAATAATAAAACTGATAATAAATTTCGAATGTTGCTTGTTGCAAGAAGTGCAAGGAACTAAGGCAAAAAGTTTGCGCAATTATCATCTCAATAATTCAATTAACCTGAAGTGTTTAATGCAATAACCAATAAAAACAAAATTATAATTTATGTTAATATAAAAATTTGGTTGATATAACAACTATATAAAAAATATATTGTTAAAGTTATGAATGGACTTTGGTCATTGAGTTATATATTCAAATAAACCAATGTATTTGTTTGTTACATACACGTGAACGAAACGTTTTAGTTGAGTTGATTTGGGTGAAAATACTCACATTTGGTTAAAAATAAAAAATTTATAAAACCAATTCAATATTTTATAACTTATTTTAAGAAAATGAAAATGTTTTTATCTTGTTTAATAAAAATCTTGCACATATAATAGTCACTATACATACATATTTTCATTCCAGCAGGATTGAGATATTATTCTAATGCATCATCACGAAAAAACTTCAAAACGACTATACCTAAAAACATCGTTCTTGTGGATGGTGTAAGAACTCCGTTCTTGGTTTCAGGTACAAGTTATGCGAAACTGATGCCTTATGAATTGGCCAGGCACTCCATGTTGTAAGTACTTAATTTCTATTATGAGTTGAACAGGTATTCAAAAAGTAAATATAAAAATATTTTTTATACACAGGAATTTGTTACGAAAAACCAACATAGATAAGGAATTGATAGAATATATTGTTTATGGATCGGTAATACAGGAAGTGAAAACTTCCAACGTAGCGCGAGAAGCATCACTCGCTGCAGGCTTTAGCCAGAAAACTCCAGCCCACACAGTGACAATGGCATGCATAAGTTCGAACGCGGTAATTTAATATAGATTTAATATGCAAATTAAAAAATTATTGCAAAAGTATATAAAGTTCTTATTACTTTTGTGAGAAATAAAATAAAATCTTAAACCAGTTTGCAACACTTGCTGGATACTTAAATATCGAATGCATACAAAACTTTGGATTTAGGCAAAAATTTTACATGACTATCAATTAATAAATTTTATTTATTTAGGCAATCACAACCGCTATGGGATTAATATCAGCTAATGCTCATGATGCCATATTAGCAGGTGGAGTGGAATTTATGTCAGATGTTCCTATTCGACATTCTCGGCAAATGCGGGCGTTAATGCTACAAGCAAATAAAGCCAAAACGTTAGGACAGAAATTAGGCCTACTTTCCAAAATAAGATTAAGTCACTTTATACCAGAAGTAAGTAATAGGAGGAGGAAAAGTAAAAAGTATTTTTATTTAACCATTTTATTATAGTTGCCAGCGGTAAGTGAATTTTCTTCTGGAGAAACGATGGGTCATTCAGCAGACCGTTTGGCTGCTTCTTTTAAAGTCACACGTGAAGAACAAGATGAGTATGCACTTCGATCTCACACGTTAGCAAAAAAGGCTGAGGAAAGTGGCTATTTCACAGACTTAGTACCATTTCAAGGTAAAAAGTAATATGAAGTTTATAATTGATATAATTTATGTATTGTTTTAGTAAATGGAATCAATAAAATTGTTGATAAAGATAATGGCATAAGAGTTTCAACACCTGAAAGTCTTAAAAAACTTAAGCCAGCTTTTGTTAAGCCATATGGCACAATCACTGCAGCCAACGCCTCATATTTGGTGATTAAAATTTATTTTTATATGTTGAACGGTTAATGACAATTTTTCTTTTTAGACGGACGGAGCGTCGGCATGTCTTGTAATGAGCGAAGAGAAAGCTAAACAATTAAAATTAAAACCGAAAGCATACTTACGCGATTTTGTATATGTCTCGCAGGATCCAATTGATCAACTCCTATTAGGTCCGGCTTATGGAATTCCCAAATTACTAAATAAGACTGGCTTGTCACTTAAAGACATTGATTCTTGGGAAATACATGAAGCATTTGCGGGTCAAATTCTTGCTAATATCAAAGCCTTAGAATCAGATTGGTTTTGTAAGAATTATATTGGCTTACCTGAAAAATTTGGAAGTCCTGATTTAAGCAAATGGAATAATTGGGGAGGTTCACTATCAATTGGTCATCCGTTTGCTGCAACTGGCGTTCGTCTTTGTATGCATACTGCTAACCGTTTAGTTCGTGAGGACGGTAGTTTAGGTGTGGTTGCAGCTTGTGCAGCCGGTGGACAAGGTGTGGCAATGCTACTAGAACGACATCCCGACGCAACAGCTAACTGATATTTTGAGTTATATGTATATATTTAGCTACTGAAAAAATTGAAACATTGAAATACGCTAATCTGCATTTTCTTATTTTTTAATAGAAATTTTAAAATATTTATGATTAAAAGCAAACTAAAAACATCCATAATTGTTCATATCAAAATTTTGTTATTCATACTAATTCATTTGTATTATTTGAATATTGGCATACTGAAACTTATATATAAATGATGTTCAAATATTTTGTACGTCCATGAGTACATTACATATGATATATTTATTACTACGAACTTAAATTCATACTTAAAATATATTAATTATACAGTTTAAAATATAACAAACATTTTCTGGTTCGATGTTATGACTAAATAAGAATAAAAATAATATTTGTAAGTAGTAACACAAAATACATCTTCAGTGCCAAAAGTTAATATATATAGATAGGCTGATCGTATCGTTATGCTGATTGAAAATATATAAAATTACATACAGTAACATATTAACATCTTGGAAAATTACATATATCATGTAATTTAGTAGCGTAGAGTATAGGATAAAATACTGTTCAGCTCCGGCAATTTTGTCATCTATAAAAATTTCAATGAAAACATAACCTTTTGACATTGCTATTCTACCCATGGGGTCACATATTAGAGGCTAGTCTTTTTTACCGCAGTATAATTAAAGATAAAAGTCATAATTTTGAGACGTTTAGTGCTATATCAACGAGTAATGTAAATGAAAATTTTATTTATTTAATAAATAATCGACTCTCTTTTTCAATTTTACTGATAGTGACATCATGTTAATTCAGCCCTGTGTCTTTCACTCAAGTTTCTAAGACAATCAATTAAAAAAAAAAATAGGGAATGATAGGTCATTGCCACTTAAAATACAACAAGTAATAGTATCTGCATTAAACAATATTAGTTTAGCCCAATATGATAAATAAATTAATGCTATTTGTTTTTATTAATGCATTACAATGTTAAAATATAGGCCTCACTCTATCGCTCACCTTCTTGCAGAATATCTGGTTCTGAATAATTCCTACAGACAAAATGTTTTTGTTCATTTCTATTTCGTCGACATCCAATTCAATGCTACGCTTTGTTAGTATATCATGCAGTATAAAAAATGTATATACAATGTTTCCTACTCTTTCGTGGCTATAGTTGAGGACACAACTATTTTTATTTTGTTTTGTTAAACACCTAAACCTGACTTTAAGTACATCAAAAGCTCTTTTAACGATATGGCATTAATGCTTTTGCAACATGTTATATTTTTCCCCTTTTTGTGTTCGTTTTGAAAGCGCTGTAAATAACCAAGACTCGAGTGGATAGCCTTGATCACCAACCATCATGCATTCGAACTCAGTTCTCTATGGCGTAATAGTGTTGCCCGTACTGGGGATGTTTTCCAAATGACCAGATCATCATACGAGTCTGGGAATCTTGCGTTGAAAAATGTAAATTTCCACCTTTTTGCTCTATTAACAGCTTGGGTATACTCGCAATTGTGCATAAAACTAATACCTAACTCATAGACACCGCAAATATGTTGCCAACACATTATTGATGCGAGCCATGACTATAAAAATATAAGGTAACTAAAAACCTACATTTAAATGCGATCACTGATTTTTGATTTTCATACGGTTCCAGTTCAGCAATTCACTCTTTACGTATGTTTTTCGGTAACCTAAACATTTTTCTGAAATGTTTTTTCAGTTCAAAGGGATCATTCTTTTAGTAATTTTCGCTTTGTGATGAATGCCAGTGTTTTTTATTTTTTTTCATGAAATAGTATATAAACATTGTTTCAATTTTTATAATTGAATAAATTTTCAAAATTTTCAAAAATTGAAACTATTATATTTATCGATGCAATGAAATACGATCTGCTCATATGATTTGCTGTTTTAATTGTCATACAATAGTTACAATCACTAACGATGAAAATACCAAAACACATCAAAACTGAGCCAGAATTTGTGAATATTGACAGAATATTACTGTTAGAAAAGTTCCCAGAAGTATTTAAAGGACTTAAGCACTTTTACTCTCTACTAACTGCGAGGTTTCTTCATAACCCCACTCTATGCCTTTACTGGATTATTGTTTATCACTTCATCAGACTAAGCAATAACTGACCTCAAATCTACATACCTCCCAGAGGAACCTGTAACCTATTTGAGATTCGATAACGCGGTGTTTGTAAGCGTGACAGTTTTCGTAAATAGTTTCAGGGCTCTATCCTTTATGTATTTTTTGATCATATCAATCTCAAGGTCCCTGAAGATGTCAGTCATCATAATGTATTATGTTAATATAAGTTCCTTGCCAATTTATATATGAGTTTGAAATGAACTCTAAATCGGAGAACAGAATTCATTATTTAAGCAGTTAACAATACTCTTTAAATTGGTATAGACAATTTTGTAATTGAAACAAATAATACAAATAGCTTTGTATTTCTTTGTCAAACGTTCTTATAAATAATTTTTAAAAATCAATGTATTTAATCGTTTATACAATTTTTACTATTAACATTGCATTGCTGACATTTATAAGTAGAATATAAAATTTTCATTTACAAGACATATGATTTAATATTGATTTGTTGTCGAGAGAACACCCTGTTTCAACGTTTCAACGTTTATTGTTGCTGAGTTTTTGTTGTTGCAATTTTGTGCAGTTATAGCGCAAGTGAATCTATGTACACACATATAGAGTTCCAAAAATAAGTTAATCATACAAATGGAGGAACAACGAATTGATAAAATTTATGGAGGATGTGAAGGACCAGATGCTCTTTATGTGAAGCTTATATCCTCAGACGGTCAAGAATTTATTGTTAAAAGAGAACATGCACTAACCTCGGGTACAATAAAAGCGATGTTGTCGGGACCTGGACAGTTTGCCGAAAATGAAGCAAATGAAGTGCATTTCAGGGAAATACCGTAAGTTTTATTATTAAAATTAATATATTATGTATTATTGTATACAAATATTAGTAAGATTTTTCATATGCAAGGTATAATAATAATTGTCTTAAATGTCAAACTCGTGCCTCATCGAATGGTACGACACCGACACATGCAAATGTTTAAATTGATTTATATTTGATAAAATAAATTGTATTAAATTTTTTTTTTTAACTGAAGAAATTGTATATATTGCTGATACATATTATATATATATATTAATTTTAATGACTAAGTAGTAATTGTTCAAAGTCCATTAACATATTGTTATTATGAATATTATGATTTTCTATTAATTTATTTGTTCACCTTATATTTACTATAACTAAATTTATATAATTACAGATCGCATGTTTTGCAAAAAGTATGCATGTATTTTACATATAAGGTCCGCTACACGAACAGTTCTACCGAAATTCCAGAGTTTCCAATAGCACCAGAAATAGCTCTGGAACTATTAATGGCCGCAAATTTCTTAGATTGCTAAAAAAGTAAGATGTATAAAAAAATAATATTGTCATGTATCTAACTAAATTCAATAAATTTTAACAAAGATCCATTATAGTGCCGAAAAATTGTTACGATTTTTATGTGTTGACATGGTTTTTGTATAACTATTTATATATTTTCATTGTATTTGTTTTTTTGTGCTTAAATTTGAAGTTTTTTAAAATGATATTATTTACTATAAGAACCACAGGTGAACGCTCGTCCGGGATAGTACGTCTAGTCAATTATAGGTTTCGCTGTACCTACCAGATCTGACTTTTGGCTAAGCACCCATCGTGTAGAGACTACAATACGAACTGATTCCAGATTTCATCAAATTAACTATGGACATAAGAATAACTCAAAATAAGTGTCCAAATAATAACTATCTTGTAAAAAACAAGATAGTTTCTATAAACAATTCCTATAATCAGCACATTAGATTTGATACATATTCAATTTCTGCATAAGTAATTCCAAATTAAATAATTAAAACCAACATTAATCTTTAACAAGTTATCAATTAAGCTTTAATCGAAATCTAAAGTCTAAAACAGGCAGTGAAATAAAAAAAAGTATTTATAGACATACTACGTATGAGTGAGTCTAAAGGCAACGGTACTGGCGAAATGACTCGAAACGTTGGAACTAAGTTTTTATACTTCAGCATAAGTGAAAATGAAATATGGTAGGAATGGAAACCCTTTAATAAGCGAAATGTATTTGCTGGCTTAAAAATAAGTGCTTCTAATGTAATCATTATTTAAATTTTAGCAGCTAGTAGATTTACTCCTCATAGAAAATAGTACTTTCTTATGTTATTGATGCAACTACTGCATAGCAATTATGGACACTAATATCAATATATTGCATGTAGTTGGTGGAAGAGATGGACACTTGTTACCACTTTCCAGATTTATTTAAATTAGTTTAAACGCAAATGACCGAATTTTTCCGGTAAATGGAGAGCATCGAAAGACACATTGTGAATCCACAAAATCAAAATGGAAAGATTTCAGCCTTGGACTGTAATCAAGAATAGCAGGTATATCAATTAATAGCAATTAAGAAGAGAAGAAACAAAGGTTTATTCTAAAAGAATTTATTTTTGAAAAACATTTTTTTTTACAAGAGACACTTGCACACTGATATTTTGATATTCACGAAATTTTGCGATTTTGATTATACTATTCAGTCACAGAAATTATGTTTAGAGATCATTTTTTGTAATAAAAAAAAATAAAAACTACAAAAACAATTTTATTAAAAGTAATATACCAAGTGCGCTTACTTTAATATCGTTATACTAGAATACTTTAGTTGATCCAGATGAAGTAGATGATCTTATATCAAAATATAATCGAGAAGGTAACTAACAAAACTTTTCGATTTTCA